GAAACCAGTCTCATGAGTAGCTTAATGATGGCTTGCAAAACTCAGTGGTTCCAGTTCTCATGAGAAGAGGTGAATAGTCATGGAGGCTGGTTGTCAAGAGAGTTAAGCTCGTGGTCCCGCCCCTGGGGCAGGGTTGGTTTACAGCTGCCACTGCACACACCTTCTGCACCCTGTGGGCATGGCGGAGGGAGAGGTCAACTAAGATTGCATTTTCAGGATGGGAAGTCCTTCAGGCCCACCTGTGATTTTACCTGGCACTCCACGGGCCTGTGTGAATCCGCCCTCACCCCACACAAATAGTTCATGAAAACAACCTATGAGTGCCACACTTAGAGAAAAATGAAGGAAAACAAGGTCTCCATTTAATTCCCACTTCAGTGGGGTAAAGCATCTTAAAATAGAGAATGAAGAAAGTGGTCAGACCTTTCCAGAGAAACCAGCATCCTCAATGGAAGAAAACTGGTATTTCAAGAAAGTTTTAAACATATAGTGAATTTGAAGAAAATGCACATTTGAAAAATGCTTTCAAGATGATCAGTACATACGAATCAAAATCACTTAATACAGATACTTTCCAAAATAATTTTTTGAAGGAGAGTTATCCTACACAAGCATTAGATGAAGAAAAATCAAAATTGGTGAAGCAGATTCAGGAGAAAGAAGACCTTCTTCAGAGACTAAAACTAGTCAAAATGTAGAGCTCAAAGAACCACCTGTCTCAATTACAGTTGTTAATAAAGAAGTGGAGAAGCCGTAGCCAGCGGGTGCTGTATGAGTTGCAGTCAGCTCAGCTCTGTCTGAAGTGCACAAGGAATGAAGCCTGACTCAACCATAGACCTTTATGGGTTAGATGATAAATTGCTGCACTCTAACAGAAGTGAAGAAGAATTTGCAAGTGTTTAATTCATAAGTTTTTCTCCAGAGTATCTTAAAGAATGACAACTTAATTAAGAGATACAGGGGCCAGTAGTTAGCATAATGGCTATGTCACTGGACTCCTATGTAGTCAACTGCGGTTTGAGTCCCGGACCCAGTGGCTTAAACTCACGCCAGGCGCGTGTATGTGAATGCCCAAGATCCCGAGAGGAGAATGGAGGAGAAGGGATTGCAGCATGGCCATCCCCCCTGGGGGGTGATTTCTCGCTTTTTCTCTCTTTCTCTCTGTCTCTCTAGTAAGCATGCCCTATAGAAAAATCTCTCAAAAATAGCCAGCGGGTGCTCTATGAGTTGCAGTCAGCTCTGTCTGAAGTGCAGAAGGAATGAAGCCTGACTCAACCATAGACCCTTATGGGTTAGATGATAAATTGCTGCACTCTAACAGAAGTGAAGAAGAATTTGCAAGTGTTTAATTCATAAGTTTTTCTCCAGAGTATCTTAAAGAATGACAACTTAATTAAGAGATACAGGGGCCAGTAGTTAGCATAATGGCTATGTCACTGGACTCCTATGTAGTCAACTGCGGTTTGAGTCCCGGACCCAGTGGCTTAAACTCACGCCAGGCGCGTGTATGTGAATGCCCAAGATCCCGAGAGGAGAATGGAGGAGAAGGGATTGCAGCATGGCCATCCCCCCTGGGGGGTGATTTCTCGCTTTCTGGTTCTCTGTTTCTCTCTGTCTTTTTGGTGTGTGCACACGCGCCCTATAGCAAAAACCTCTCCCCGCCCAAAGAAAAATTAAGAGATACACATTTTAGAGGGAAGATAACCATGAGGGCTTAAAGGAAGGTAACCTGATGGACATGATTTTAGGGCACACGTACACAAACTCGGTTCTAAATGTTAACAATATTTTGGATAGATTTGCCAAAAAAACCCAAAACAAAAAACAAAAAAACCCTTGATGTTTAAAGAAATGTAACAAAAATTGAATTGTGTTTAAGGGGTAATTTGGACAATTCTGGAAACCAGTTTTAATATATTTCTTTGTTTCTCATGACTAAAAGTTTTAAATGTTAAAAAACGGTGGGACCAGCAGTTAGCGTAATGGCTATGTCGCTGGACTCCCCCGTAGTCGACCGTAGTTCACGTCCTAGACCCGGTGGCTTAAAACTCACGCCAAGCGTGTGTGCGTGTGTGCCCAAGATCCCGAGAGGAGTATGGAGGAGAAGGGATTGCGGTGTGGCCATCCCCCCTGGGGGGTGATTTCTCGCTTTCTATCTCTCTGTCTCTGTCTGGCGAGCACACGCGCCCTATAGCAAACAAAAAACAAGAAACAAACAAAAAACAAAAAAAAAGTCTTCAGAATGTTAAAAAACAGTCCAATCTGGTGAATGTCTCTACCTAAACTGGCATAAACTATGCTTGCCTGTCTGAGTTTATGAACCGTGTTTCCATTCACTTGCCACATGTGTCCATCTGATGCTCTAGCAGGTAACTAAACTGATCATGTCTGAAGTTAAGAAAGATAATAATAATAAAAGAGAGTTAAGTCAGGACCCATCTCTCTGCACGTGCCAGCCTCCTCTCCACTTAGGTTGGTCATGCTGTAGGCTTAGGATTTCGGATTTTTTTTTTTTTGAGAGAGATTTTTGCTATAGGGCGCATGTGCTCATTGGAGAGACAGAGAGACAGAAAGCGAGAAATCACCTCTCCGGGGGGATGGGCAAGCCGCAATCTCTTCTCCATTTTCCTCTTGGCATCCTGGGCACACATGTACATGCACCTGGTGTGAGTTTTAAGCCACCAGGTCTGGGACTTGAACCATGGTCAACTATGTGGGGATCCAGCGACGTAATCATTAGGCCATCTGCTGGTCCTTTTCCCAGGAATGTTAAGAGAGGTTCACAAAGTGAACATAAGCATTTGGTTTTTGTACAATAATGGTAGGGAGTTCACAGGCAGTTCATGCTACTAGCTATGGTTTTGGAGGCAACGAGGAAACTAAGGCAGTTCAATCTATAGCAATTAGCTTCATTCACTTTAGTAGCTGGCTGAAAGGTTGGCTTGGGAAGATGGTGGTTTAGCTGGGGTGTTGCACATGGAACAGATTGATCCTGAAATCTGGTCCCCAAACTAACTTTACAACAGGAATTTCACACATGCAGGCATAAATGAGCACTTGTGAAAATCCCCATGAAAGAGCCACTCATTTTGTCCAAACTGTTTTTCACTGTGGTAGCCAATCTTCCAGTTAAAAGACAAGTTAACTGGATAATTACTTGAATATGATGCCAACACTCAATGTTAACCTTTTGGAAGATTTAGATTTCTTTAAACTGTACCAGCTTCATGATCTTATAGGAATGTTGTTTACCTCAGATTCTGAAAAATATTCAAATAAATGAAAGATTAAACAAAATATTTTCTTCTTTTTCTTCTTAGTACCTACTGTGTGACAGCATATGCTGGGTATGTTAAATAAAAAAGACCTGCTACATAGAGCAGGACCCTGGGAGGTTTCCTGGGTGGCTGAAGGGACAGGGGTACAGAGGTCTCCTTTCACCCACCCCATGGCTGGCTCCTACCCAAGCTCACTGTGTGACCTGAAGCAGTTTGCTTGAGCCTTCTGTGCCTTGACGTTCTTGGTTGCAGGACAAAATTAGTGACACCAGGAACTGGACAGTGATACTGAGGTCAAATACAACATTCTGTGAGACTGACTCACATGGGTAGGATCTGGATTCAAATCCTGAGACCTCCTTGAGAACACCAGGCACACACACACCTACGGTCCGGGGCTGGTGGAGGCTGGGCTCGGATCACAGTATCAAGATCCTGTTGGGAGTTCTCGCTCTTCATCTGTCACGCGCACACACTCACGGAAGAAACACACTAAAACACATTGTGACGTCAAGGCCAGCCAGGTGGCATGGTGTTTGGAGTGGCCGGATCCCACACGATGGACTGCACAGTTCGAACCCCAGGCATGGCAGCTTGAAAAACACACTGGGCATGTGTGTGTGCGTGCCCCAAATCCAGAGAGGAAGGGATTGCGGCGTGGTCATACGGAGTGCTTTTTCATTTTGTCTCCAGCACTCACACACGTCCTAACGCAAATGAAAAAGCATAGTCACGCCAGCCTCATGGGTGGTGGGGACACAGTTTGAGTCTGACCACACCAGGAGGGCCAAAAAAACACTTGTTAATTACCATCCCCATTACCCTCTGCCTCTGCAGAGGGAGCGGCCTGGGCTCCCAGGGACCACGCCCTCTTTCACAGGGATCTCTGAGTCCCTGGGCACCATGTGAAGCAGAAGTGTTGTGGCAGTAGTGCCTGGTCCGTGAGGGGCGAGCTCGGCCCCGTCCTCAGGGACAGTTCTCTGCTGGGAGTTTCACGTCTGCCCTTCATTGGTCCACATTGGAATGTTAGGGCGAGGAATGTTGGCATTCATATTTTATTTCTCACTCTTAGATGCTGCTAACCAGTGTCTGTAGTTTCTGGAGCAGCCAGGCTTGGAAATGCTTGTGGTTCAGCTGAGACGAGCTGGTGCTTTGTCCCAGTAGAGGGACCTGTCTCCCCTCCCCAGGGCCCAGGGAAGCTTGCTCCACTGCAAGAGCTGCAAGGATGACATGAGTTGGGCCTGCCCCATAGATGGGGAACTGCGGCTGGGCTTGAAAGCCTAGGCACAGCTGGGGCTTGGGGAGGCCGGGTAAGGGATGGGCAGGAAAAGGCAGCAAGGCCCAGGGCAGACCTGGGGATCTGAGGGTTGCCCCTTCTTGTCCTTGAGAGAGTGGGGTGAGTGAGGCAGCTTCAACTTACCACACCTGGAGATTCACCCCCAAAATAGCCTCATTCCACCCCACCCCCCACCCTGAGGAGCACAGGGCTTGAGCCAGGCAACCTGGGGTTAAACTAGAGCTCCACCCTCCAGTAATTAGGCTGCTTGCCTCCGTGTCCACATCTGTGCAATGGGGCTTACTCAGAGCAGGACCTGACACACAGCTCAGCTGCCCTGGGCTATCACCCAGATCCCCGCTGGGCTCAGCATGGTAGGAATGTGCTGGGAGCAGGAGCTGTAAAAGGGACAGGTGAGACAGGAGCAGGAGGCCAGTCGCCTGGGGCACCGTGGACTTGCTTTATTTCACCAGCAGCGTTCAGTTGCTTCTTTTGCCCAGAGGGTCCCGGAGGTACCTGAGCAGCACCCCTACCAGGGCCAGCATGCCTCCCGCGAGCAGCAGCAGCTTCAAGCCCTTGAGAACATGGTCCGCGTTCCCCTGCCCAGCCCGGTACAGTGCCGCCCAGCTCTCTGGCGTCTGCTGCCTCTGCTGCGTCTCCGTCTCCTGCGGGGCGGCGGGGTTGAATTGGGCCATGAACTCCTGCTGCACGAAGCACCTGTAAATGGCCGGCTGGAAGACCTGCAGCTTCCTGCCGCCAGTGGAGAGGTCTAGGTAGGAGCCCAAGTTCCTGCCAGAGAGCTGGTCTTGCCAAGTCAGGGGCATGCTGTTGGCTTCCCAGCTGATGGCCCTGCAAGGGAGACAAGGTCAGCTGCAGGGCCCAGGGGGCTTGGGGGCAATGTCTGAAGAGAGTGAGAGACAGTGGCCCCCCTTCTCTGGGGCAGGCTATAGGGCAATTAATATGGGAGTGTGAGGGCAGAGGGCTGGGAGCGCTCAGAGCCCTGCCCCTTCCTGGCCCAAGACCCTGGCAGGTGCCTCCAGCTCACTAACCCTCCCTTTCTTCATCTGAACATGGGAGTGCAATGACGGTACCTACCTCATAAGGTCGTGGGGGGAATTAGCGAGAGCATCCCTACATGGTTTATGTCGCCCCCACACCCTGCCCGGCTTCATCTCCTCCACTCTCCCCTGCTCACTCTGCCCAGTCAGACTGGTCACCAGCATGATCCTCAGGCAGGCTGCATACAGTCTTGCCTCAAGGCTTCCGCCTTGGCTGTTCCCTCTGCCTGGAACACTCTTCCTTAGGCCTTGTGGTTCCCTCACCGCTAAGTCCTGGCTGAAATGACACCTTCTCAGAGAGGACTTTGCTGACCCCTAGTTCAAATTTTTCCTTTTTTTTTTTTTTTACAGCGATATTTTTGCTATAGGGTGTGCGTGCTTGCTGGAGAGAGAGAGAGACAGAAAGTGAGAAATCACCCTCCTGGGGGTGTTGGCCATACCACAATCCATTCTCCATACTCCCCTTGGAATTTTGAGCATGCATATGCACACACACACACACACACACACACACACACACAGTGTGAGTTTCAAGTCACCTGGTCTGGGACTCGAACCATGGTCACCTATGTAGGAGTCCAGCAACAGAACCACTGCACCGTCTGCTGGTTCCCCCTAGTTGCAGTTCTAATATCCCCCATCCCCTCTAGCCCTTCCTGTCCTAATCACTGCTATAATACTATATATTTTATTTACCTTAAAAATTAGATATGAACCAGCCACAGTGGCATGCGCTACTAATACACTGTGCTCTGCAGGCTGGGACTGCATGGGAGGCCTGAGTTCGAGTCCCACTCCAACCTACAGGCCTGGCGCAATGATACATTCCTGAAATCCCAGCAACTCAGCAAGTTGAGACAGGAGGGCAGTGAGTTGGAGGCTGACCTGGGCAACACAGGGAGACCTTGTTTACAAAAAAGAGCCAGGCATGGTGGTACATGCCTGTTGTCCTAGCTGATAGTCACAACGGCAAGACCTTGCCTTAAGAAATAAATAAATAAATAAATTGGGACCAGTAGTTGGTGTAATGGCGACGTCGCTGGACTCCCATGTAGTCTACCGCAGTCCGAGTCCCGGACCCGGTGGCTTAAACTCACACCGGGTGCGTGTACGTGCGTGCCCAAGATCCCGAGAGGAGCATGGAGGAAAAGAGATTGTAGCGTGGCCATCGCCCCTGAGGAGTGATTTCTCATTTTCTGTCTCTCTGTCTCTTTCTGTCTTTCTGGCAAGCACATGTGCCCTATAGCAAAACAAAACAAAACAAAACAAAACAAAACAAAACAAAACAAAACAAAACAAAACAAAACAAAACAAAACAAAACAAAACAAAACAAAACAAAACAAAACAAAACAAAACAAAACAAAACAAAACAAAACAAAACAAAACAAAACAAAACAAAACAAAACAAAAACAAACCTCTTAAGAAAGAAAGGAAGGAAGGAAGGAAGGAAGGAAGGAAGGAAGAAAGGGAAGGAAGGAAGAAATGCATGCCGTCCAGTGGCAGGGTGGTTAGGGCGGCTGGATCCCACATGGCCACTGTGTGGCTCAAATTCCAGATCCTGAAGTTTGAAAATCACCACCCAAAATCCCAAGAAAAGAATGGAGAAGAGATTGTGGCAAGACCACCTCCCCTCCCCGCCGGGGAGAAAGTGATTCCTCACTTTCCCTTTCTCTATCTCCAGCGAATGCCCCCTCTACTAAACTAAAAAAAAAAAAAAAAAAAAAAGTATACATGTATTGCTCCATGAATGCCGGAATCTGTCCACTCTGCTCTTCACTGTTTTCCAGGGACCTGGGACAGTGCTTAGTTCATAAATGAGCAGCAGAAACGTCCCAGGCACGAGGGCACGTGTGCCCAAAATCCTGAGAGGAGAATGGAAAAGGGATTGTGGCATGGCCAGCTCCCCTGGGGGGTGATTTCTCACTTTCCCTCTCTGTCTCTCTCTGGTGAGCAACCCTACCCCTACCCAATGGCAAAAACCTAAAAAGGAAAAGAAAAAAAAAAAAAAAAAGCTGTAATCCTTAAACTAACCATTTGAAATGCTAGGAGGAGGAGGGGGGACAGGGATACACACACACGGGGAAAACGCCAAGCAATAATGGAGGCAGAGGGTGAGATGATGCAGCCTCACAGCAAGGCAGCCCAGAATCCGGGGTCAGCAGCAGGAGCCAGGGACAGGCATGGAGAATCCTCCCGAGCACCCCAGAGGGAGCATGGCCCTTCTGCCCCCTTGGTTCTGGAATTCCGCCCTCCAGAAAGGTGAGAGAACCCTCTCTGTTGTGCTAAGTCCCAAGTCCGTGGTACTTTGTCCCACTAGCCCTAGGAAACTCACACAGCCCCATTGTACAGATGAGAAACTGAGACCCAAGGGAAGCCAAGGACCCAAGGTCACACCGCTGGCAAGTGACAGAGCTGGGATTGGAACCCAGGCCTGGCTGAATGCAGAGCCCAAGGCAGACACTTCATAAGACATGCCCTACTCCACTCAGCTCCTGAGAGATGGGGGAGCTGCTGGGTGCCCAGCCACTTCTCTCATTCTCAAGTTCCCTGTGACTTGCACTCAGGAACACTTTGTGTGGCAAATGACATGGGGGTGGGGGACAGGAGGAGGCTTCAGCTCATTTTCTGGTGCTTCCGAACTGTGATTTTCTTGGGGAGCAGCTACTACTTAGCGGCGGAGGAGAGGAGAGTCGCTGAGAGGTCTGAGAGAGAGAGAAACGGAAGCCACAGCTGGAATAAACAACGAAAAGAGGGTCCAGCAGGTGGCATAATGGTTATGTCACTGGACTCCCTCATGGCTGACTGTGGTTCAAGTCCCAGACCTGGAGGCTTAAAAACCACACTGGGTGGTGCCCAGGATCCCGAGAACAGAATGGAAGAGAAGGGATTGCTGCGTGGTCATCTCCCCCAGGGGATAATTTCTTGCTTTCTGTCTCTCTGTCTCTCCAGCGAGCACATACGCCCTAAGGCAAACAGCTCTTTAAAAAAGGGGGAAAAGAACAGATGGAGGTGGTGAGGCCAGATGCCATGGAGCCTGTGGCTACAGAGGCTCCGAGATGTCATTGGGCTCCCGCTGACCAGTGAGGGAGGGGTTGCCTCAGACACGTGGGCAAAGGCAAGGGGCCTCCATGGCCAAGTAGGTGGGATTTAGGGTCTGTATGTTCACTCCCCACTACGGATCACCTGGGCCAGAACTGCACCCCTATGAGCTGTTGTACCCCAGTTGTAAAATGGACCTCCTTGGAGTCCACAGTTTGGGGCAGAGCAGGGAGGATGCTGTGGCAGAGGACGCTGTGTGGAGAGCTTGCCCAGCCCTGGCGGTGGCAGCTCAGGACCCATGAGTGGTTGTGTTCCTTATTACTGGGTGTGTGTGTGTGTGGGGGGGGTCTCGAGGAAGAGACGAGGGGAGCTTTCCCAGGGGCTCCTGGGAGGAAGATGGCCCCGTGAGTGAGAGCTCCAGGAGGCAGGCCTTGAGGGCACCCAGCTCTCCTCCAGGGTCTTCCTGACCCTTCTAGATGAGTCAGGAGCCCCAGGGCAGGCTTCTCAAGGCAGGGCCTGGCTTGCTCTTCTTGGCCATTGCTCTTCAGGGCCAACCCAGAGAACTCCTCCCTCTGCCCAGGCTGACTACAAAGACTCCCGGACTAGGAGAGATTGGCTAGGGGGCAGGGGCAGGGGCAGGGCTGGCGCCCGGGGCCCAGCCCCTGTAGATGGATCCTAAGGGGCAGGTGAGCCACGCAGATTCTGACTCGTCGTCGAGGTTGAAGTTGTCGAAGGTGACGTACCTCACATGGAATACCCTTTCTTTCTTGCATGGGACAAGGCAGGCTTCTACCTGCAGTTCAGGCCGCATGCGGCTGGACCACGCCACCACATCTCCCAGATAGAGCCAGCAGGGTATGGGTTCCTTCTCTAGGGGCCCCTGCACGTAGCAATACCCCAGGCGCTTGCGCTCACCCAGCTTCCCACAGCGGTTACAGTCCTGCCAGGGCTCCCACCGGGTAAAGATGACCACCCTGCCGCCCTCGTGCAGCGTGTCATTCTGCAGGGGCTTTTGATGCAGGCTTTTGTGGGTAATATGCAAGGTGGTGATGTCCTGGAAGTCGATCTCGTACTGTATGGCTTGGGTATTATCCTCGTTCCAACAGTGGTAGACACCGGTCTGGGAGGGCAATGGTTTTCGAATGACAATGCTGCCTTCGGGTATCATTTCTATATTGCCGATATTCGAGAGGCCGGGGGTCCAGTCTTCCCTCTGTTGCATGAAGAAGTATTGCCATTGGGCCCCAGAGAAGTTGCAGTGCAGGAGGACGTCATTGCCTGACAACAGGGCTCGTTGGCATTGCTTGCTGTTTGGACAGGTGACCGAAATGTAAGACTCTAGCGTCAAACCAGCAAAGCTAAGCAGCAGCCACAGGGTGGCTAACATGGTGGACTGGGACTGTGGCAGTGAGCTGGGCACCATGTTGGACATTGTGAGGTCACCCATGACCTCAGGCCTCAGTCCCGGGCAGCCGGATGCACTGCGGTCCGCCCCATGGATGTGTGAAGTCACCATAACCTTTTGTTTTGTGACCAGCGGGCAATCCCACTTCATTTCTGGCCCAGGTCCTCTGTCTTGCTTGTCTGTTCAGAGTTTTCTCTATCACCTGTCTTTACCAGCTTTCCCGGGCGGTGAGCCTACATTCCCACGGGGGGGGTCCAAGAGCCCTGAAGAAGTGTTCCATGAGAAGAGTTCACATGTTTTTCCTGAACACCTGCTATGTTCTGGGCATACTCTCTTTTTAAAAAAAGTTTGTTTTATTTTTTTCATGAGAGAGTGACAGTGACGAGAAAGAAGGAGATAGACACCCTCAGCACGTGGTGATGGCCTCCCTCTGGCTCTGCAGCTCGTCAGCATGTTGGCCCACGCGCCTGGTGAGTTTCAGGCTGACATGGGATCTGAACTCATGGTAAGTCATGTGGCTTTCAAGACTGCAGAGCAATACACTGCCACCTGCAGGCTGGGCCAGTTCTGGGCACACTTCTTAGCAATGAACAAATCCTCTCTCTGGTTGATGTTCTGACCTCCTGAACTTCCCCAGCCACGCTGGCCCTCCGGCTCTTCCTTGAACACATCAGGCAGAGAGAGGAGCTGCTCTTCCCCGGCTCTTCTCCCAGATGTCTGCATGACTCAATTCACCTGAAATAAGTACTTCTCTCAGTAGCCTCTTCCCTAAACACTTTTCTTTTTCTTTCTTTCTTTTTCTTAAATATTTATTTATCTATTTATTTGTAATCTTTTCAGGTCACTGGGTCTGGGACTTTAACCTTGGTCAGCCATGTAGGAGTCCCGCATTAGTCCTGAAATTTAAAATAATTATTGTGCAGGCTTGATCTTCTGTCCCTCGCTTATTTCATAAGTGTTCACTGAATATCTACTATGTGCCACTCATGATTTTTTTTTCCTTTTTAAAAAATTTGCTATAGGACATGCGTACTCATGAGAGAGAGAAAAAGAGAGAAAGAGTGAGAACCCCCCAGAAGGGATGGCCACACCACAATCCATTTCCCTCCATTCTCCTCTTGGCCTTCTGGGCATGCACACACATACCCAGCACATCCCTCAAACTGCCAGGTCCAGGACTTCAGTCACACAGTTGGTGATGTGGGATCCAGCTGCCCCAACCCCCACACCATGGGCTGGTCCCCTTTTTGAAATCATAGCAGTGAACAAGTGAACAAAACCTTCCCCTTCCATGAGCTTACCTTCTAGTGGAAGAGACAGACAATAAACAAATAAATAATACATGATGTCAGATGCAATGGATTCACATTACTCATGGTGGTCATGTCCCATAATCGTTATAAACACTGAATTAGCCAAAACTAAACAATAATTCCCAGGGGAGAGACAAGGAAACGCTCCTGAAGGCCTCTGGTCATAACATTTTTGTCAACAGATGAACACATGGTCTTATTTTATGTGTATTTTTGTTTAAAGGTACCTTATTTATTACATATTGTTGGCCACTGAAGTCATGCCTGAGAAGCTTATCTAACACATGTGTCTCTGTAAGACACATCAAAGCCTTCTTGCACTTGGGGACATCAGACAGCCCTTCAACCCTTTGCTCGGGAGCTATTTTAAACAAACCAATCAAAGGTGCAAAGATCGGGAAAGCATGGCACTAAATAGAACATGAAATGGATACTTATTAGCAATCTGAGAGCTAGAACAAGAAGGCAGAGTGTCTGCCACCTTGTTTGCCCCAGCTGGGAATGTGCCCTCGGAGTGACTCAGATTTCTCACCACCCTGCACATGTCTGCAAATGACGCTGAAAGCATTGTGTTTATTGATTTTGAAATTACAAATAAATTTTAGTGAGTGGAGAAAATTCACAAACACAGAATCCACAAATAATGAGGATTGATGGTTATAATAACTGCTCAAGAGAACAATAGCAAGGAAATGGGGATAGAAAATAAAAAGGTAAGGGCTAGCAGGTGGCATGGTGGTTAAGGCACTGGACTCCCACATGGCCAACTATGGTTTGCGTCCCAGGGCTGGCAGCTTGCTTTCTCACTTTCCCTCTCTCTCTCTGTCTGTCTCTGGTCAAATTGGGGAGGGGGGGGAAGTATAATGATAATGGTGAACGAAATTAAATAATTTTTTAAAAAAGTGAAAGGGTAGGAGGCAGCAGGTGGCATGGTAGTTAAAGGCACTGGACTCCCAATAGCTGCCTATAGTTCAAGTCTCAAACTTGGTGGCTTGCTTTTTCACTTTATCTCTCTGGTTAAAAATAATAATAGTGAGGGACCAGCAGTTAGCGTAATGGCTATGTCACTGGACTCCCATGTAGTCAACCGTGGTTTGCGTCCCGGACCCGGTGGCTTAAAACTCACGCCAGGCGCGTGTGCGTGCGTGCCCAAGATCCAGATAAGAATTAACAGTGTAGAGGGGGCTGGCAGGTGGCATGGTGGTGGAGGCACTGAACTTCCACATGGCCAACCATGGTTCAAGTCCCGAACCTGGTGGCTTGCTTTCTCATTCTCTGTAGCTCTCTGGTGAGCACACATGCCCTATAGAAATTAAAAATTAATAACAATAAATAACAATTAAAATAAATAATTCTTTTAAAAATAATGATAATACTGAGACCACTAGATGGCATAATGGCTACATTGCTGGACTCCCATGTAGCCGACCACAGCTCGAATCCCAGACTTGGTGGCTTAAACTCACGCTGGGTGCGTGTGCGTGCATGCCCAAGATCCCGAGATGAGAATGGAGAAGGGACTGCAGCGTGACCATCCCCCCCCTCGGGAGTGGTTTCTCGCTTTCTGTCTCTCTGTCTCTCTCTTTCTGGCGAGTGCACGTGCCCCATAGCCTAAACCTCTCCAATAAATAAATAAATAAATAAATAAATAAATAAAATTTAAATAATTTTTTAAAAAGTAAAGTGAAAGAGTAGTGTACAGATGTCAACTATTTGGGGGAGGAGGATTAGGCCTCACTGAGTCATCTCTGAAGAGGTGAAGTTTCACAAGCGCCTGAATGGGGTGAGAGAACAACCCTGTGGCTATCGAAAAGAAGGCTCTCTCCAAGAGAAGAGGCCAGACCTTGACATGCTGACTGGTTAGGGCATTTGAGGGGTGTGAGGGCCAGCGTAACCTGAGAGGAGTAGACAAGGAGGAGGTTCTGTATATAATGGGGCACTGTACTCAACAATGACAGAACGTTCTTTCTTTCACATTCACACAAAGTAACTGCCCAAGGCGGTGATATTGTAGGCCATGAAGTGAGTCTAAATAAACGCCAAAGGAATTTAATCTTACTGCTTGGGCAGTGGAATTGAGGTGACATAAGTAATAAAATAACTAGAAATCCTCCCCCTCCCCCACCAAGATATCTGAACATTATATACAGGGAAATATCTAAATCACCACTGGATAAAAGAGAAATCACAATTGAAAGTAGGCAGTATCATCACTGACTGAAATGAAGTTAGAAATGATCAAAACTTGTAGGCTGCAGGTAGCTTGTACTCGGGAAATTTGCAGCCTAAATACAGATATCAGTGGAAAAAGGATAAAACTTACAGATCTAAGCAAGAGCTCAAGAAATCATAAAATGAACAGCAAATCAAACCCAAAGACTATAGGAAAAGGAAATAAAGACTACAAATAAACAACTCAAAAAAAATTTTTTTTTTTTGGAGAGGTGTTTGCTATAGGGTGCATGCGCCCACCAGAAAGATGGAGAGAGACAGAGAGACAGAAAGCGAGAAATCAGCCCCCAGGGGGGATGACCAGGCTGCAATCCTTTCTCCTTCATTCTCCTCCTGAGATCTTGGGCACACACGCACACAGGCCCAGCATGAGTTTAAGCCACCGGGTCTGGGACTCAAACCACAGTCGACTACATGGGAGTTCAGCGACATAGCTATTACAATAACTGCTGGTCCCCTCAAAGTTTGTTCTTTAAAAAATTATGAATGAGGTAGATAAAATCCTAGAAAGACTGATTTTTTTTTTTTTAAAGAAGAGGGTGAATGCAGAGGGAGGGAGAAGGCTTAAAAAATTAATGTTAGTAATGAACAAAAAGACATTACTACAGATCCTACAGGCATTTAAAAAAATGAGGATATTACAGACAACTTTTAGTAAAAACTGAAAATCTGGATGAAATGCATAAATTCATGGAAAGACTCAAAACACTGGCATAGGGGAAGAAATCCGAATAGTTTGATATTTTCTATTAAATAAATTGAGTCTGTAATTTAAAACCTGTACACCAAAAACACCCTTCCAAACCCAGAAAGCTTTACTAGTGAGTTCTTCCAAACACTTCTTAATATCATAAAACAGTTTCAGAAATAGAAAAAGGTGGATGGAATACTTCTGAACTACAAGACCTGCATCACCTTGGCACCAAAACTTTATACGGACATTACAAAAAAGGAAAACCTCAGACTGGTATTTTTTTTACGAACATAGGCAGAATATCCTAAAGAAATATTAGCAAAGCAGGCCAGCCAGTGGCATAGTGGTTAAGGTGGCTGGACCCCCATGGCCCCTGTGCTTTAAAAGTACCATACTCTGAGGATTGAGAAACATGCCAGGCATGCATGTGCATGCATGCTCAAAATCCCAAGGGGAAAATGGAGGAGAAAGATAATGGTGTGGCCATCCGTCCTGAGCAGTGTGCTTTCTCACTTCTCTCTTTTTCCCTCTGTGGCTCTCTAGTGAGTATACTTGCCCTATAAAATTTTTTAAAAAGAAGAAGAAAAATATTAGCAAATTGATTTCAATTTTTAAAAAAGGAAAAACATCAGGACCAAATTGGGTTTACAGGCAAGTTTGGGTTTATATTTGAACAGCGATCAGTGTAATTCATGGCATTAACAGAATAAAGGGGAAAAATGACACTATTATCTCAATAGATACAGAAAAAGCATTTGTTAAGATTCAATACTAATTGATATCTCAAAACTCTTAGTAAAATTTTTTAATCTTATCAAATTATCAACATTTCATCAAGTGTTTCTATTAAAAATTGAGAGTGGACCAGCAGGTGGTATGGAGGTTAAGGCACCGGATCTCACATGGTCAGCTGAATAGTTTGAGTCCCAGATCTGGTGGCTTGAAAAATCACACAGGGCATGTGCCCAAAATCCCAGGAGGAGACTGGAGTTAAAGGAATTACAGCATGGCTATCCTCCTTGGTGGGTAATTTCTCATCCTACCCCCACCCGCCTCTTTGGCTGGTGAATGTATGTGCCCTGTAACAACAACAAAAACATAAAAGAGGCAGCAGGTGGTGTGGTGGTTAAGGAGCTGGACTTTCATATGGCCAACCACAGTTCAAGTCCCAGACCTGGGAGCTTGAAAATGATGCCAGGAGCATGTGCATGCATGCCTAAAATCCTGAGAGGAGAATGGAGAAGGGATTATAGCATGGCCATCCTCCCAGGAGGTGATTTCTCACTTTCCCTCTGTCTCTGTCTCTCTCTCTCCAGGAGTGCACACACCACATGGCCACACACACACACACACACACACACACACACAAAAGTAAAAACCAAAACCAAAAAAAAAAAAAGAGAACAAATGACTAATGAAATCTTAAGAATAACTGAAGTACCATCACATCAGCTCCTCCAGTCAGCATTTTTTTTTTTCTTTTTTTGAGAGAGGTTTTTACTGTAGGGCACGTGCACTCACCAGAATGACAGAGAGACAGAGAGAGAGAGAGAGAAATCACCCCCCCAGGGGGGGATGGCCACACTGCAATCCCATCTCCTGTTGGAATCTTGGGCACGCACACACACGCGCCCGGCGTGAGTTTAAGCCACTGGATCTGGGCCTTGAACTGTGGTTGGCTACATGGGAGTTCAGTGACATAGCCATTACACTAACTGCTGGTCCCCTCTAGTCTGCAGTTTACTGGAGGTAAGTGAATTTAGCAAATTAGATACACAATTATATACAAACATTGAAAATAGTCTATATATTATCAACAAAGAATATAAAATTTTAATGGTGTGGCCATCCGTCCTGAGCAGTGTGCTTTCTCACTTCTCCTCTCTTTTTCCCTCTGTGGCTCTCTAGTGAGTATACTTGCCCTATAAAATTTTTTAAAAAGAAGAAGAAAAATATTAGCAAATTGATTTCAATTTTTAAAAAAGGAAAAACATCAGGACCAAATTGGGTTTACAGGCAAGTTTGGGTTTATATTTGAACAGCGATCAGTGTAATTCATGGCATTAACAGAATAAAGGGGAAAAATGACACTATTATCTCAATAGATACAGAAAAAGCATTTGTTAAGATTCAATACTAATTGATATCTCAAAACTCTTAGTAAAATTTTTTAATCTTATCAAATTATCAACATTTCATCAAGTGTTTCTATTAAAAATTGAGAGTGGACCAGCAGGTGGTATGGAGGTTAAGGCACCGGATCTCACATGGTCAGCTGAATAGTTTGAGTCCCAGATCTGGTGGCTTGAAAAATCACACAGGGCATGTGCCCAAAATCCCAGGAGGAGACTGGAGTTAAAGGAATTACAGCATGGCTATCCTCCTTGGTGGGTAATTTCTCATCCTACCCCCACCCGCCTCTTTGGCTGGTGAATGTATGTGCCCTGTAACAACAACAAAAACATAAAAGAGGCAGCAGGTGGTGTGGTGGTTAAGGAGCTGGACTTTCATATGGCCAACCACAGTTCAAGTCCCAGACCTGGGAGCTTGAAAATGATGCCAGGAGCATGTGCATGCATGCCTAAAATCCTGAGAGGAGAATGGAGAAGGGATTATAGCATGGCCATCCTCCCAGGAGGTGATTTCTCACTTTCCCTCTGTCTCTGTCTCTCTCTCTCCAGGAGTGCACACACCACATGGCCACACACACACACACACACACACACACACACAAAAGTAAAAACCAAAACCAAAAAAAAAAAAAGAGAACAAATGACTAATGAAATCTTAAGAATAACTGAAGTACCATCACATCAGCTCCTCCAGTCAGCATTTTTTTTTTTCTTTTTTTGAGAGAGGTTTTTACTGTAGGGCACGTGCACTCACCAGAATGACAGAGAGACAGAGAGAGAGAGAGAGAAATCACCCCCCCAGGGGGGGATGGCCACACTGCAATCCCATCTCCTGTTGGAATCTTGGGCACGCACACCCACTGGATCTGGGCCTTGACCTGTGGTTGGCTACATGGGAGTTCAGTGACATAGCCATTACACTAACTGCTGGTCCCCTCTAGTCTGCAGTTTACTGGAGGTAAGTGAATTTAGCAAATTAGATACACAATTATATACAAACATTGAAAATAGTCTATATATTATCAACAAAGAATATAAAATTTAAACAATTTATGGTAACACACACAAAAAAAATACCTAAAAATAAATACAATAAAAAATAAGGCCTTTACATTAATAATTATACATCATTGAGAGACATGAAAGGAAGACTGAAAAATGGAGGTATTGGGAACCAGCAGTTGGCGTAATGGCTATGTTGCTGGACTCCCATGTAGTCGACCGCGGTTCGTGTCCCGGACCCGGTGGCTTAAAACTCACGCCAGGGGCGTGTGCGTGCATGCCCAAGATCCCGAGAGGAGAATGGAGGAGAAGGGATTGCGGCGTGACCATCCCCCCTGGGGGGTGATTTCTCGCTTTCTGTCTCTATGTCTCTCTCTGTCTGTCTGGCGAGCGCACGCGCCCTACAGTGAAAATCTCTCAAAAAAAAAAAAAATGGAGGTATTTACCATGTTCATTAATTGGAAGACTAAATATTGTAATTTTTTTTTTTTTTTTTGCCAGAGGGCACATGTGCTTACTAGAGAGAAACAGAGAGAGAAGAAGAAAGCACCTAAAGGATCCTAAAGGCTTACGGGTGGGAGAAACGGCCTGATTTTCTGTTAGCAGGTAAACCCCTAGCCCAGGTGGGTTCAGGAAAGGCCAAAGGGAGGGCTACTGCCCTGGTCCTGTCACCTGTAGACGGAGGCCACGGGGCAGGTGAGCCACATGCCGTTGGTCAACTTGCCCAGCTGGTAGGTGTCAAAGGCGAAGTATGGCTGGTCGAGCTCCTGGCCGGGGTGACAGGGCACGTGGCAGCCTTCCACCTGCAGCTCCGGCCGCAGGCGGCTGTCCTGCACCTTCTCCTCTCTCACATAGAGCCAGCAGGGCATCGGTTTCTCCTGGGGCTCCTGCACATAACAGTACCCGAGACGCTTGCGCTCCCCCGGCACCCCACAGCGGTTACAGTCCTGCCAGGGCTCCCAGTGGGTAAAGACGCGCACCTTGCCGCCCAGGTCCAGGGTTTCGTTCTGCAGGGGCTTTTGGCTCAGGCCTTTGTGGGTAAGATGCAGGGTGGCGACGTCCTGGAAATCGATCTCATACTGCACTAGGAGGGCATTGTTACTGTCCTGGCAGCGATACAGGCCAGTCTGTGAAGGCTGAGGGTTGACAAGTTGAAGGCTGCCCCCAGGGAGATTCTTTACATTAAATATCGAGTTGAGCAAAAATGGTTCCTCCCCCATAATGGAAGAGAAGTACCAGAGTGCCCTGGGATGGTCACAGTGCAGGACAATGTCATTGCCGGACAGCAGAGCCCTCGGGCAGAGGCTCTTATAGGTACAGCTGATCAACACCTGGGCCCACAGCGTGGGGAAGGAAAGGCCGACCAGCCACCAGGTGGTCACCATAGTGGACCGAGACTACAGGAGGCTGGGTCCCACTCTGGGCATTGTGAGGTCACCCACAGAACTCGGAGGTCAGCCCCCCCTCCCGGCAGTGGAATGAATCTGGGCCTCACTGTTCTTCCGGGAGTGCAGTTCAGTTCATGTCATCAAACGGCACGTCATAGGTCGTAGGGTCGAAACTCAAACACCCACAGGAGCCGGGCAGGAAACGAAACAAGGAAACCCAAGTGAGAAGAAGTAGGCAGAAAGGGCACATTATTTGTCCCCTCCATACCCAACCTACAATAACAAAATGGGACACAATGACTTCCTCTCCATCGGGAAGGGGAAGAAGGAGAGAGACACAGAAGTTCTGGTCTGTGCCGTCTCTGAAATCCGGTGGGAAGCCATTACGAGGGCATCGCACCTCATGGACCAGGAGCGCTCCTTGATTAGCACCACATCAGCTCCTTGGTGGTGGGGGCTGGGGACTTCCTAAACCGTTGTCCTCTGTGGTGCACGTCTCCACTGTCCGTGGAGACAGCTCTGCCTTGCACTATCCTTGGCTACATCCGAAGGGACACTGGAAGAAGAGCCCTCCCTGAGACATCGGCAGTTTCTTGGCTGGCATTCTGTGCCCCAGAGTCTAGGACCTAAGGATTTTTAATTTTTTTTTTTTTTTGAGAGGTTTTTGTTACAGGGGGCGTGCGCTCGCCAGAAAGACAGAGACAGAGAGGCAGAAAGCAAGAAATCACCCCCCAGGGGGCATGGCCACGCCGCAATCCCTTCTCCTCCATTCTCCTCTCGGGATCTTGGGCACGCACGCACACGCGCCCGGCGTGAGTTTAAGCCATCGGGCCTGGGAATCGAGCCACAGTCGACTACATGGGAGTCCAGCGACATAGCCATAACACCAACTGCTGGTCTCAAGCTAAGGATTTTTATAAACCTGGGTCAACTCCATGTATTAAAGGTTCACATCCATCGTTCTATTCAGGATGGCCTTCCCTTTCTTTCTCTCTCTGTCTCTTCTTTTAGGTATCCTAACGTCTACCGGGCACCCTCAGAGAGCCATATGCTTCGTCTTTCACTGACATATCTGTCCGCCTGTAGGAATCTTTCTGGTTGTTTGTTTTGTTTTAATAAATCCATATTTTCATCTCACTTTTTCACAAAGTAAATTTTTTTTCCTTCAGGTTTTTGCCACAGGGCATGTACTCCTACCAAAGAAAAACAAAGAGAGACAGTGAGAGAGAAAGTCGGAAATCATTCCTTGTCCCCCACACTGGGGAGGAACAGCCATGTTATAATCTCTCCTCCAACTCTCAGATTTTGGGCATGCTGCACACACCCTGGCGTGATTTTCAAGTTACCAGGTCTGGGTCTTGAACTGTGGTTGACCATGTGGCAGTCCAGTGTCCTAACCACCTTGCAACCTACTGGCCCCTTGTTTGTTTTAAGTTTTTGCTATAGGGTATGTGCATTTGCTGGGGAAAGAGAAA